ATTATTATTAAATGTTACATTTAGCACAAAACTGAATTTAAATGCGAACTTATTTAAATTTGAATTTATTTAAAAATAATTTTTATTATCCAAAGTGGACCTAGTCCCCGCCTCTGAATTAAACATGCAAAGTAAAGACTACATTGACAAATGTTGCGTAATGTGTTGTCTCACATAATACTTTTTAAATAGTATGCTGTATACATTGTGCAGTATTAGATTAATATTTCTTTCTGAGTCCGACTACAGCCCTGCTGAGCAAAGTATTTAGTACATTGTAAGCTCATAGCATAACATAGAAGTATGTACAAAAATGATGATTATTACTATTACATTTATATTGGGTGCAGGCTTTTATTTTGAGATGCTGAAGCATTGTTTCCGCATTCACGCTGCTCTAGGTTTATGGGTGAAGCCGGTTTAATGAACTGCCGATTTGAATTCCTCACAGAACATCTTTCAGTTTTGTGCGGTGTTGAAGTGCTTTCTGCAGCGTGACAGGACGGAGATATGAATGTTAAAGTCACGGGTTAAATGATGGCGTCAGGATGGCGGCAGCCTCGAGCAGTTAGAGCTGCTTTACTCTTTAACGCCATCATCATCCTCATCAGCCCCGGCGCACAGACGCACACCTGTGACCATAAAGTGCCCCTGCCTACAGAGGTCAGTCCCTCTTATTTGTTATTCTTTCTTCTGGCTGTCAAATACGAGAATTGAGAATGTGCCTTCTTAATATCATATGAGATTGTGCCTTTTTCATTTTCATAGACATTTATCTGGATGATGTCACATTAAAGGGACAGTTAACCATAAAATGAAAAATCTGTCATCATTTACACGCCTTCAAATCTGTATAACGTTCTTCTGTAGTACATAAAGAAATGATATAGCAGTCCAAGCTTTTTTTTTTCTATTCAATGAAAGTCGTCCTTCAGTGCTCAAATAATCTATAAATACTATTTTAGAATATTATTTTAGCAGTACTTATAATAATCTCTGCTCTTTGTCATTCTAGGTCATACATAAAGTGTTTCTGAAGCCAGATAGATTGACCAAAAGAAGCACTGACCAGCAGTTAAAGATCCAAATAGAGTACGACTCCAGCTTGGATGGGTTAGCTATAAGTTTATAATTTATTTAATACAGTAATGCCACATTGTCGTTGTCATACATTGACTTCACAATATCTTTATTGCTCACACAGGTTAGATGAAGCCAAAAGCAGCCTTGTGAAGGTACATTTTGACTTCTGTAGTCAAGGTTTTATCAATATGTAAAGCTAAATGTTATTTGTTAAATCTTAAAAATAGCCTTTCACCTCTAAATAGGATGCATGCTTACATTATTGATCTTTTTCTGCTTTGTTTCAAGGACAAGCTCCTCCCACAGGCTATTGATTATCTTCAGAAGGCCTTCAGGGTTCGCAGGCAGTCAGGTCCAATATTACTGAGCAGGTAATTCTCTTCTAAGCTGGTATTGTCTGATAGCAAATCCTCTTAAAATTGCACTCAGCTATGTCCTTCTGGAAGCTTGGTGGATATTTAATCTCATTAGTGTCTTTTTTTTTATCCCAATTAATTTTTTTCTTAATGATTAGACAATGTGCAACCAATCAGTACCTTAGGAAAAGAGATGACCCACATCGCTACTGTCAGGGACCATGTGCAGACATCACCAAGTGTGGCCCAGTTGTCGTCCCTGAACAACATTTGCAGGTAGATCCCCCCAAATATTTTGGCCAAAAATATTTCCTCCCTTATTTTGTTTATTCCTTATATTTTTTTTATTACAATATATTTGCTGCATATAAACCATACAGATTAGTAAAAAAAAAACATCAAGACATATAGTGATTTTGTTCCACATTTTTTAATTTTGGTAGCTTAATATGAGCAATTTTTCACAATACCTATTTCATACTGGTGTGAATTACTCAACCAAGCCTATTTATTTCACCCTTTGGTGCTTGGCAAATGTTGATTTTGGACTCCCTTGATTTCACCCTAAATTATAATAAGCATTGTATGAAGATTAAGGTGTGTCTGTTAGTCTTTGACGTAGGGCTGCACGATTATGACAAAAATCATAATTGTCGATTATTCCTTTGAAATTGTAATTGTGATTATTAATTATGATTAAATGAATGACGTTTACACCTTTGTTTGAAGCAACTGCATGCCATATTTTTATATGAAAATAAACAAGCTGGAAACACTAACTGAAAAAAACTTTTATTGCTTTTCTATAGTATTAAGCCTCAAATGTCAACTATACATTGGATTGGTTTCTTCTTTAAATAAAAAGGTAAAAATATGCATGGTATTATAATGTTATACTAAAACTAAAATTAAAACAATGGAAAAGCCCTTAAGATAACATGTAGAAAGAAAAAAAGCATCTTAAGCATGCAGAATAACATAAGTGGACTTTGAACGATTAATTGCTGCTTTGAACGATTATGTAATTGTGGCATCCGAAATTGTAATCGTGATTAGAAATTCGATTAATTGTGCAGCTCTACTTTGACGTAATTGGTGCAGTTAGAGTAGCTCTATTGATGGTTATGTTTATATATTCAATTCTGTGTTTGAAATTTAACAAAAAAATGATCTATGTAAACATACAGAAGCATCATGCCTACTTAAAGATCTATTTTAAGTGGATTTGTTTAAATGGAAAAAAAATTCTAATATTGATAAATATAAATACATTGCAGGTAAATATGAGAATTTTTGAATCTTAGAATGAGGTCTCCTTTAGCAATGCAGGGTTTGCAGTGAGTCTGGCAAGTCCTGTGGCCCCGTTGGTCCTCCCGATGGTGAGGGGGTGGCGAGGGCAGATTTTGTGTTGTACGTGAGTGCGATGACCACAGAGCGTTGTGGACAAGAGAACATCGTAGCCTATGCAGCGTACTGCCAGCTGGAGTCTGAACTGGACAGGTAATGGCAATAATTAATGAGATGGGAATGTATGGTGATTTTGGTTTGCTTTACAATATACTGTGGAAAATAGTCCAGTGTGTTGCTGACAGTAACGGCTGAATTTCTTAATGTAGACCCATCGCTGGATATGCCAATCTGTGTCCCAATATGATCTCCACTCAACATCAGGAGTTTGAAGGGATGCTGTCCACAGTCAAACACGAGATCATACATGCCCTGGTAACAACATTAAACTCTGCACATCCGCATGAGTAGAGCTTTAGAGTTTTCATTATTGTTCAATTATATGTTCTATATGTTTTAAGGGTTTTTCTGCAGGACTCTTTGCCTTTTACCATGATGATGATGGGAAACCTTTGACACCACGTTCTGCAAGTGGTCTACCTGCATACAATGAAAGGTGATGGTTATATTTGTATTTTTATTTGTTTTAAATATAATTTTAAAATATTTCATAATAATAAGTGATTTTTTTTATTATTATAACACTGTGATATTTATATTGCATGATTATTACAGGTTAAAATTGTTATTGTAGGTAAAAAAAATGCACGATATATGTATATAATGGACCTTTTATTGTTAAACTATTATATATATAGTACTGTGTTTATTTATTTTTATATATCTCTCTCAGTTTAGGGTTATATCAATGGAGTGATAAAGTCATTAAAAGAGCAACTCGGCTGTGGGACATCCGTGGTGGCCACATGGTTAGACACACGGTCCATCTTCTGGCCACCCCGCGTGTAGTTGTAAGTATTTCTTTCATTTTAAAACAGGGGTGTCAAATTCAATTCCTGGAGGGCCGGAGCCCTGCAGAGTTTAGATTCAACCCTAATTAAACACATCAACTAATCAAGTCCTTCAGGCTTATTTGAAAACTACATGGTATGCGTGTTGGAGCAAAACTTCAGGAATTGAGTTTGACACCCCTGTTTTAAAGGAACACCATCTAAATAGTCTAATTAAGCTACATGAATAATTTTGATGTTTTATCAGGAGGAAGCCAGGAGACATTTTAATTGCCCCATTCTAGAGGGCATGGAATTGGAGAACCAGGGAGGTGCTGGAACAGAGTTCAACCACTGGGAAAAACGCCTGTTAGAGGTACTGAAACCAAATGTTCTGGGGTGGCGTTCATGAACACCTAACTATTTCAGTGTCAGTATGGTCAAAATACAGTTTTTTTGTATTGAATTCAGCATGTTTTATTTCAACAGAATGAGGCAATGACTGGATCTCACACACAGAACAGAGTGTTTTCTAGAATTACTTTGGCCATAATGGAGGATACAGGGTAAGAGAAGTATTGTTGCTCAGTGCAGTTTATTTACTTATGGAGATTGAACTTTTATATTTACAGGTATAGTTCTCCCAAAAATGAAGATTGTGTCATTTTTTTCACCCTCATGTTGTTTCAAACATGAATAGCTGTATGCTTTGTGGAACACAAAAGATTATATTTTTAAGAATGTTGGTATCCAAACAATTTCAGTTTCCATTCAGTCCCCCACAGTATGGACAAAAAATGGACTATGGAAGTCAGTGGGACCCAAAACTGGTAACAATATTCTTCAAATGTATTATTATTTGTCAAATTTATTTTGTGTTTCACAGAAAAAAGACATACAGGTTTTAAAATGAAATGAGGGTAGGTAAATTATGACAGAATTTGCATTTTTCAGTGGACTACCCCTTTAAGTGTAATTTAGTAATTTAAGTACTAGAATGTATGGAGCCCCGCACATGGCATGCAAGAAAAAAAAAAAATCGTAGGCGCGATTTATTAATTCATTCCCTCGATTTACTAGATCGTGCGCACGATTTACTTACAACGAGGGAACAAATTATTAAATAGTGCGCACGATCTAGTAAATCGAGGGAACTAATTTATACATTGTGCGCACGATTTACTTAAAACGAGGGAACGAATTATTTATTTGTGCGCACAATCTAGTAAATCAAGGTAACAAATTAATAAATCGTGCCCACGATTTACTTAAAACGAGGGAATTAATTATTAAATCGTGTGTACAATCTAGTAAATCGAGGTAACGAATTAATAAATCCTGCCCACGATTTGTTTTGTTTTTTTCTTGCATGTCATGGCTCCGTAAGAATGGTAAGTATGGAATATTGTAGGGGGAATGTGGTTCAGGAATATGTTACCAGGATGGTGTGTCCATTAAAACACATTGGATAGTTCTCAAGTCAAGATCCTTTATTTGTCAGAGCACATCAGATAGCAGAATGTTTATCAAGCCAGGGTTGCATAGGAATCAAACAATAGAGTTGTAGCAATAGAGTTGTATGGTATCTAAACAAAAACAATAAAGAACAAACAAGACCTTAAATACATTTAACATCATGAAATTCAAAAAATGAATTACAAATCATATAATCCAACAAATTCAAGCAATTTAACAATCAAATATTAAAGACAATAATACTTAAGAATTCTGAATCACCTATAACAATTCAAAGTTAAACCCAAACAAACATAACCTCAAAATAATACAAGGGAATAAACTTACAAAGTCAGACACACACCAACTCTACAGAAATCTCTCAACTAGGAGAGAAGGAAAAGGAATGACTGCTTCCACTGCATGCTGCCCATACCAATAGTATCCAGCTGCAGACCCGCAGCACCAGCAGTTTCAGAACCGCAGCCACAGAACTGGAAGTGAGGGGCGGAGCTTACATTTTTTTAACAGAGTAGCGCCACCTTACGGTTTTTAAAGGGGTCATATGATGCTTTTTTAAAGATCATTATTTTGTGTATTTGGTGTAACAGAATATGTTGACATGCTTTAATGTTCAAAAAA